AAGAAATTGCAACGATGCACAATTTACCGCATTGCAATCTCTGATATTTCTTCTGTTTCTAACTTCTTTGGAAGGCACTTTGCATTGATAACAATGCCGTGGAATTACTAGCAATGACTGATTTCCAGCTTCGACGGTAACATATATACTAGATGTTACTAAATATAACTGTTACCAAAATAGTCTAGTATATTTAGTTTTATAGTTACTATATATACATATAGTAACGTCTTAGAGTCTATTTCATTTTATTTGCAAAAAAAAAAAAAAAAAAAGAAAAAGGGAAAACAAGAAGTAGTAGGGACAAGTATGAAAATAAATGTTGGACGTTAACAACCGGTGTATATAAAACTTCGCATATATATACCGGTTTGACTGGGACAATACCAGTTTTGGAGTATGCTTGTTCGGTCAACTTACAGGATTTATAAGATCATATGCGTGTTCATTCCCTCCTCCTGAACCGAGTAAAGAATTTACTCTAACGGTCTAACTTTATTCTATTCACTATTATTTATATACAATCTTGGATTGATGAATAGATCAATCATGTTCTAATCAAGGGAAAGGTTTTTCTTTTATGTTTATCATAAACAGTTGGAGATTAAACATTAATACCATGTAATACTATTTATGGATAACATGTTATTGGGTTTTACACCTTAAACAGTTAGTGAATAATATTAAACTTTATTAAAGAGTTTAATACTTGAATGATTTGAAGTAAATGACATGAAATAATGATTTCTTTCTTTTTTCCTTTTCATTGAATCTTTTTAAACAAACTGACCCAATGTACACCATGGTCAGAATCGGCAATACAAAGGAAATAGTCATGATACGTGATATCTTACTGTTGACGATGCGTGACGCACGTACATCACATGCCTTTTTTTATGTACATTCTATATACTTTTGTATGTATATGCGTGTGTGTGTATGTATATACACATTTATATATACATCTGACTAACTCTTTCTTTCTTTCTGTAATATACACACACTTGTATCATTTCTTTTAATTCGTGTTGCACAATTAACTATTTCTTTTTATCGTTTAGTTAATTACGTTATCCGGTTTAAATTCCATTCATTATTTTTTACTCATATTTGTTACCTACAAACTTTTCTTTTTTTTTTTCAAATATAAAATAAAAAGAATAAAGAAAGGGGGCGGAGGAAAAAAGAAAATTTTATAATAATAATAATACGATGACGCTATTCTAATTTTAATTGGATTTAAAAGGACAATTTTCATTTCCTTAATATTATTATTCATCTCGTACCCCTAACAACATTGTTTTTCCTTAGCTATGCAATTATACAGTTAAAACTCGTAACAATAAAATTGCAGCTATTATCTTGAAGAGAAGAAAAAAAAAAAAAGGTTCGTATGATCTAGAGAGCAACTAGTTTATTTACCATTACATATTGTTCCTATCAAATGAATAAATCGAATCTAAATGATTGATATCGTTCGTCTATTTAATACTCTTTAACCTAATTTTATCCTTCTATCTATACAAAAATGATCTTATATTTTAACCGGGGTTAAAATAATAGATATGATTTTTTTTTATACTCCTTCCCCACCCCTAGTTCTTGTTCTTGTATATACTGCAATAAATCAAATCAAATATTTGAAATTTATATGTGTGTTTTACGAAGATTGAAATGTTAAATTGATTTATTATTTGAAAGAATTTGAAAGTAAAATAAATTAAAAAGAAAAGCAAGAGAACAAAAAAAAAAAGAACGCTTATATAAATACTGTAATAATTAAAATACAATATATATATATATATATATTATATTTCAAATCTATATTAGATTTTATATATAAATCTTATACAATTTTAATTCTATAATAAATACTAAAATTAAACGATACTTGAAAATAAAATAATATAAAAAGAAAAATTAGGTGAAGGGGAGGGGTAACCCTTATAAAAATACCCTAATAAATAAAATAAAAATATAAAAAAAAAACCATATATGAAATATAAGAAACTTTCATGATATTACAAATCACCGTACATTCTATACAATTGTTTATTTTAAAATTTGATTGAATAAAATATTTAAAATAAAAGAATCTAGTGAAAAAAAAAGGAATCTAGTGTATAAAGAATCTAGTGTAAAAAAAAGTGTTAAAAAGAAAAAGAATCTAGTGAATAATAAAGAAACTAGTAAAAATTAATGGTAAAAAAGAAACTATGAGTAGTGATTTATGAAATAAAATAAAAGATACGGAGATAGGATTGAGTTTGTTGAAATAATACGAAGGGAACACCCTATAGAAAGGTTCGAGGGCGTCAAGGGAGGGTCCGCCCTTCTTTGTGAAAGGGGGCTCTGACCTCGATGGCTCGTCGAGTTCGAGGTAGGCGCCTCCAACTACTATATATATACACACACACACATATATAAATATATATATATATACTCTCAGAACAACTTGCTTTCTCAGGTTCTTCTTTCTTGTTTCGAAACGAACGAACGAACGAACGAACGAACGTACGAACGAAGACGAACGAAGTAAAACTGTTGACTTCGTTTTATTCGCTTGCATGTCGTTCGCTTTCTTCGTTCTTTGGCAGCTTGCCTGACCTCGTTGCCAAGCAACCATAAAACGAACTAGGCGTCCCTTTTATCCTTCCATTTTTCAAACTTCCTAACATTCGATATATATCTCACATCGTTTTTATACAAATTGATTAACAAATAATAAATCGTCTAGGGAATTTTTTATCATTATATTTTGAATTAAATAATGAACGTTATGGTATTGTTTTTTTTTTTTTTTTTTTTTAAGGAAGAAGTATTACGATATTTTATATAATTAAATAAATAAATATTATATTTTTGGGGATGTTTCTTTGATATAATAAAAATTCCTATGTTATTCTTAATGTATGTATGTATATACCATAGATGTTATCCAAGTAGTCACGTAGCGGCATCGTAGCCAACGAAGGAACAGGTCGTATGCAAATGATATAAAGAGGATAACGTAAAAGAAACTAAATAAAAAAGGGAAAAGGTAAAAAGAGAAAGAAAAAAAAAAGACATCTCGTGCGCTGATATAACCAGTTGCTTCAACTTATATACATTATAAATATATACTTGAAGAAAAATGTAACATCTAGAAAAAAATGATATTATCTGGAATACTTTTTTAATGTCTACTTCGAATATGATTCTATGGTTTTTTTCCTTTGTTTTTTTTTTTTTTTAGATTGATACGGTTTTTGATAAAAGATATAATAATTTACAAATCAAACGGAGATAACAATAAAACGTTTTGGATTGATTTACAACCATGGATATATATTATTTACATTTCTACTACACGCATGTACTCTAAACGAGATTATAATAAATTATCATCACGAGCAAAGATAAAACGTATAATTAAAAAAAAAAAAAAAAGAAACGAGAAAATCTTTGCACGCGCGTCGCGAGTGCAATTATCACGAATTCAAATTTGACACGATTTCGCGCCGTTTCGCGCCCCCACCCCAACACCCTCTACCGAGAACGAAATTAACCGAGCTTAACCGAAGTGAAATCGGTTCGTGTATAGGATACCATGTGTACGAGATATTGATATGCAATTGTAAATGTAGATACAACACGTTTCGAAATGGATCGTGATCCAATTGTAATAAATAAAGAATAAGAATAATAAAATGCGTTCGACTTACCCATATGAGCGAGGTCAATAATCGGAACTTCGCATTTGCTCAACAGGGTCTCGCAAGTTTTCGTTACGATCGGTGCACTCGTACAGCAACTCATTTTTCTTTTTATTTTTTGTTCTTTTGGAATAGAAGATAAATTCAAAATTGTTGTTGTTGGTGGTGGTGGTCTCGTCCTTCCTTTTACCCCTCCCTTCTTTTCCTCCCAGAAGTTGTTGATCCCAAAACTTTTGAAAAATAACGACAAATTCGTGATCGCGTTTCACAGAAGAAGAAAACAAAACAAAACAAAACAACAACAAAAAAATCATTTACAAAATAATATAAAAAAAGAGAAAAGGAGAAAAAAAAATTAAAAACAGATAAAATTCACCTTCTTTATTATTTTCTTTTTATTTCCCTTTCCCCTTCTTTACGTATATAACAACAACACAACAAATCACTATTATATCGACCAATAAACGACGCCGAGAAAAAGAGAAAAGTATAAAGACTGAGTAGAGATTAAAAAATGCAAGGTAAAGAAGAAAAAAACCAAAAAAAAAAATAAAGACAGGTAAATTATGCCTTATAGGGATGAAGAGAGAAAATAGATATAAAAAGAAGAGTAAGAGGAAAATAATAAAAGAGAAATAATATTAGTAGAACACATTTGACTCTCTAAACCACGTGTAGGGAATTCAATAGTCGTTGGCGTCGTTTCCACGAATCGTAAACGATATCGTTTCCTTCACTGGAATATCCAATAAATCATACTACAGATCACACTTCGTAACGTATTTTCCGTTCTTTTTTTTTTTTTGTTTTCTGCTCCGCCTTTTTCCTCGTTTAGTTGTTGGTAATACGATGCACGATGTTGGTCTCGATTTGAAACTTCTAAACGAGATAGATAATTATTTATATCTCGATATTAACGTAAAGTTAATAAAATGAAAATTCTTTTGAAATAAATTTGTATATTCCCAAACGGATAGAAAAATCAGATCCTTTTAACGGTAACCGTAAGATACAAGTTTATTATGGGGCTGATGGTGGGGTAAATAAACGTGTATAAGACTGTGAACTTGTGGGCACATGCTACGACGGGTGAACGGTATTTGCGTGGCCTTACAGACGCGAGCTAATACTTTTTAATAAAAATACGATAGAAGAGAAATATAAAAGAGAAATAAATAAAAAGTAGGGAGAGAGAAAGAGAGAGAGAGAGAGATAGAAAGAAAATAATGAAAAGAAGGAAAGAGATAGAGGGTACGCGACACGATGTTGCGCGGGAAAGAGCAGATACGCGTTGATGACTGGCGCGCGGTTACTTGCCAACTGATGCCAAACCTCGTATGAACAGTGAATAGCGGCGCGCGCATAAATCCTTCTCACGAACTTACCCGTACGCTCACGAATCTAACCGAAGTCGCCATTCTACGAGGAAACTTGTCCTTCGGAGGCCCTACTTTTTATCTTTGCGCATGCGCACATTCAAACAGGTTAGTACGATGTTCTCTTGGCTCAGGTAATTTACAATTTATATTAAAAAATATATATCCATTCTTTCTTTTTTTTTTATATTTTTTTTATTTCTTATTCATATTCCAATGCGTTTACCGCGAAGGAATATTCTAGTATGTCGTTTATTACCTTTACGAATATTATATTACAATGTTATATCTTTGTTTTATTAAAACATATGTGTACGAGATGGGAATATTCAAATAATCGCGGGATTATTTTGAAAACGTTTATACGATCAAAATTGAATGTATTTTTTTTTGTATTATTTCAAGTTAAATTATGATTATATCTCTTTTTTAATCCATATTTGGATATGCTTTGATCTGTAGACTGCAACTTAATACTCTTATCGCTAAAGGAATTGTGCTCGTTCTTATTGCGATTTTTAAATTTAGCAACTCTTAGGATATTTCGAGCATCGTCGTCGTCGTCGTCGTCGTCTTATGGCGACGGGAAAGCTTCAGTAATGCAAAACGTAGACCAAGTCGTTTCGTCGAGCAACCAACCAACCAAGCAACTAACTCAACAAAGCAACTAATTCAACCAAGCATCGTCACAGTTCTATTAAAATCCGCGACACTGCGTACATAGAAATATCCCCTATTTCTGGATAGAAGTAAGTACTAGATTCCCCTAATAGATTTCCCCACTTATATATTTATATAGAAATTAAATAAAAAGAAAATTATAATATATGTATGTATGCACGTGCATGGTGGTGGTCAACGTTCTCATAAATTTCAAATATTCTTCACAGCATTCACTCGTCAATTTTTATTAAAATGAGAGTAAAATGATATAAAATAATAAATTACTTACCTGATAACTTAAAAGGATCGTCAATATTGAAAGAAAAATGTTTCAAAGGTTAATAGCAGTTCGTTAGAAAAAGTCCTTTCCCATTGGGGGTTTTTCCAAAGTACATCTCGTTCGATGCTTTGCGCTCTACTGATCCAGCTGTGTCGACTACGAAATTCAAATAGGGGGATCCACTAGTTCCCCCCTCCCCACCTACCCACTGTCGCTTTCTCAACGATTATGCTTCTTCTTCCCACCTTTTAAGAAACAATTTACTTTCAATCATAATAAACAATAACTTGACTTCATGGATCGTTGACACCTTCTTCTATCTATTATATCCACGTGACGAAATCTTTCCTCGCTTCTCTACAAACAAATATCTCATTTGTAAATTGACTATATAGAATTCTTGAAAAAAGTAAATAACATTCGTTTACATTATTTATTACTTCTTGATGTTTTACGTTGTAGATATAAATGTTTGAAGAAATCGTGTTGAAATAATTTGCGTCAATAGATCTCTTCCAAATATATATTTAATGTATTTCTTAATTATTTTTTTAAATTATTATTGGTTTTCTTTTTTTATTTTTTAATTATTATATATTAATTATTTCCCTTATTTTTCCATAATCCATTTATTAATTATCTATATTTCGTCTTTGCCCGCATATTATGAAATTCGAACAATTCAACGAATTCGTTTGGTTAACAAACGTTTCCTTGATATCCTATGTTCCTCGTGAGTACTCGGCATGATTCTTGCTATCTCGGAAATTTCCATATTATATTCTATAATCGGTGATCTACTATAAGAGATAGAAGAATATAATTTGTTTTTTCGAATTTTCTTTCTACTTTCTGTCAAAGTATTTTTATTTATTGGAGATAAACGTTTTATCTTTATCCCTTTTTGTTCAGACTTAGTTTTATCTCGGGGATACAATTTATTAATTGACGAAGTAATATTACCATCGTTTTTTCTTTTACTCCAACTGAAAAATGCAATACAATCAATTTAATCAACTTAATAATAAAGATATTAATTCTCTGTAATCCGATTTAAGAAAAGAAAGAAAGAAAGAAAGGAAAGAAAAGTATTAGGAGTCTGTAAACGATCTGGAAATTATTATCCGTTTCGTTAAAAGATTATGCTCACCTGTGTTTAGTTTTTTTTGAAAGAATACAATTAGAACCATCGATCGAGCTTAAGGAAGATACAGGAAATCGAATTCTTTCGGAAAGTTTATCTATCATCTACAAGAAAATTATATATAAAATATAAATCTCTCTATTTTAGATAATATATATATATATAATATATATAATCGATGATTTTATCGATCGATAATTAATTAATATCATTTTTAAATGATATTTATATACTCTTGCTATCAAATATGCTAAGAGAGCTTGCGTGACAATTAACGTGCTAGTCATGACGTATGCGATCACAACAATCCTAATTAAAACTGGACTGATAACTTCCGCACAACCGTTCTCATTGATACTTTTAATATCCTTATCCATCATCTCGGAATGTATACATGGAGTCATTGAACGTAGACTACAACAACTGAACGGTACTCCTCGATCGCGATATTCTTCATCAGAGATTCTTGTCTCATAAATCATTTCGTCGCGTGGCGCATAATCAACCATCTAAAACAAAACAAGAAATTATAGTAAGTATATATAAGTATATATATATATATATATATTAATATGTAAGTGATAATATATGTACGTTCTTATTATTTTTACTATTGTTATAAAAT